AGGGGGAGAGGGGGAGAGGGAGAAAGTAAAATTGTGGTTTCCAGGGGCTCGGGGGAAAGGGATGATGGGGAGGTTAGTGTTTGATGGGTATAGAATTTCAGTTTTGCAAGATGAAAAACTTATGATTTGGCTGCGTAATGATGTGCATATGTTTAACACTACTGAACCGTACACTCAGAAATGAGTAAAAAGGTAAACTTAAGGTTATATATATTTTTAGCATGACAAGAAATTTAAAAACAACACCGAGTTACAGTTTATTAAAAACGAACTTCACAAAAACCAAGTCAACTTTCTTAGGGTTTATTTACTTTGGGAAGAACCTGAAATGTAAGCTAATCGACCATCCCTCAGAGTATAGCAAATTCATCTCCAATGTATAACTCAGAGGTTCTCAGCCAGGAGGGACAGGCTGACCAAGCTTAGGAACCTCTGCTCTCAGAATCACCTCAGCTGGGGGCCCTGGCAGGTACTTTTGAAGGCTATTCATTGGAAGAGTCAGGTTGCTGGAAAACGTTTTTGTACTGACCCTGAAATTGGCCCTGATCTTCTGGCACTACAAAGAATAAGTCCATCTCCCGTTGTCCACGGCAGACATCTGGATCCTGTGGTGAAAGTCACCAGCACCAGATCTCATCTCCCTGCCACACCCCTCACTTCTTCCTTAACTCCTTCCTCCCTTTGACTTGAATGACGTTGCTCCACGAACCTGTCCGTGTGTGTCATAGTTGCAAGAAATGGCTTGCTCTGATTCCTTTCCCTGATATACCCAATCGCAGACTCTTGCTTCTACAACGACCACACTAAAATTCAATGCCTGTGTACACTATTATGGAACTCGGCCCCGACAGCCCTTGGCACTTATGTGGCACACTGGAAACACTGGCTAAGCGATCTGGGGAGCAATGTCGAAAATAGAAAGAGCCAGTCTGTAGGTATAAATACATCCTGCTCTGTTACCTCCTTCTGGGACTAGCTTATCAATCTGTCTGGCTCGTCTTCCAGCACAAATCCTCAAAAGGAGTGAGACCCACCGCCTGGTTTTTGCCTCAATGGAAAAGGGGACATTGGTGTCTTGGGCTATACAGCAATTGCAAGGAACTCATCTGGGCCTGTGTCTGCTTGATTTGGCCGACTATTTCCCTAAATCAGCCTGTTATTTGGGAGAATATAAATCAAATAACCTATTTAACACCATGTGAAATAAAATCACAGCTCTTCAGCTGACCTTTCCCCTTTATAGCGCTCTGCGTTTGTGTTTCTGTACACAAGCGGATGGGGGCGGGAGCTGATGCTAAGGATATAGATGTTTTGAAGATACAAAAAGACCATTTTTTAAAAATCCACTAGAAATGACAAGCATCCTGCAAGTCTACGTTATTGAACATTCCTACTCACTTTGGAGGGGGAAGAGGGAGGTACCTAAAGAAAGCTTCCTCTGTGTCATAGAACAGAATTCAACTTGTCTACTTTCTAAGCTTCTTTCCAGCCCAAATGTGTCCCTTAAAACGTGAACTCGGCCAGGCTCAGCAGTGGGCATTCTCATCATTAAGATCAGCAACTTATCAGACCATGTTTATCTCCGAATTGTACCTGACATGGATCGTGCCGTTAGAAACGTATTTTGCATCCCGCCCTCAGTACATGCAGGCAGCCAGCAGACATGTACATCGCAACAAATGATGCGATGAGGCTACTCACTGAATTGTCTTGACACCTTTGTCAAAGATAAACGAATTCGGCAAGCTGAATTTTCTAACTTCCCTTCATGGCTATCTTCTCCACAGAGAGAGGTTCTGGGAGGTCTGAGGCCAAGTATCATGCCTCTTCTTCTCCCTGGCACCTGAAGCAAGGGCAGGCGTGGCACGGGTCCACCGTGCATTCAGCAAGTTTGTCAAATGAAGTCACCTAGCCCAGTATTCAAAAAGGAGGCTTTCCTCATTTGAGGGAGAAAAAGGAATGAATGACTGATGCACACAACATGAATAAATCTCAGGATTATTATGCCGAGTGACAGAAACGAGGCGAAAAAGAAAGTACATGCTTTATGGTACCATTTATATAAAATGCTGGGAAATGTAAACTAATGTATAGTGAGAAAGAGCAGATCAGCGGCTGCCTGCAGATGAGGATAAGGGCAGAGAAAACTTCTGGGGCTGATGAAGACAGTCATGATCTTGACTGTGGTGATGGTCAAGAACTGATCGAACTGTACACTTTAAACAAGTGTGGCTTCTTTTGTGTTCATTATACTTCAACAAAGCTGTTAAAAACAACAGTATACACCCATGAGGGCATAAATGCCAAAATCCTTACAACAGCCTCTTAGAGCCTAGAGGAGCTACCACCCACCTCACCAACCTCTTCGAGATGTTTTTCATAAAATCTGTACTACATACCAAAATATTAATGGCAGTTATCTGCAGGTGATGCCGATTTCCTTCTTTATTTTCTGAAGCTATTAATGTTAGAAAATGGAACTTTTTAAAAAAAAATGTAATGCAATGCAAAGGTAATGTTA